ATCACTTGTTATTAGTGCCTCTCAAAAGTATCATAGTAACATTATGAGAAAAAAAATTGATGTCCAATAAATACAAAAGGGAGAGAGAGGCTCTCAAGATCTTTGTGAACATCAAGCTTTCAAATTTGGGAAAAACAACTTATGGACAGTTAGTTACTGCTGCCATTCAGTCATCTCCCTACAAAATCCTAGTTGTGGGCCATAAAGACCAGGTGGGCCTGAGGGGATACCACATATCACGACTTCCTGCGTAAGTTGCTGCTGCTCTCCTACTCAGTTTCTCAAAGACACTCACCTGGGTATAATAAGGGCATGGGTCGCAATATCATGGCCTCTGGCTCTGTTTCTATTCAGCACAGTAACTGGATCCTGACTCCTGACTCTGCCTTCGATGTCAGGAACATCTGAGCAATTCGCTCACATGCATTCACGAATCAGTATGCTTCCTTAGCCCCTTCCCTTGGAGGCCCCTGAATGTTGCGAGTTGCTGCAGTGATGTCACTCTTCCTGGAGGTAATTGCTGCTGCTGCTGCCATCATGTCCCCAGCACCACCCACATGGGTGACATTTCTTCATTCTACTATGATCCTTATTACATAGTTTTTTTACTTGAATTGGAGAAAGAAAGCTGGGCATGACTAGGGATAAATAAACTCTGCTGATATGAGACACAAAACAAAGCAGCCTTGTACTCCAGCCATCTTTCACTTACTTGACTCCTCATTTCAGTCCCTCACCCTCCCCATAACCTCCATCCAGGAAAAAAAAAAAAAAGTAAATGACACATCACTGTGCAACTCTAAGCGTCATATAACCACACTCACCTCCAGGCAATGGCCCTGGACCAAACTCGTGCCTGGGTTCTGATTGTCTTTGAAGTCCATTCCTTTCCCCTTGAGCACACAGAGTGGGATGTAAGGCAGCGCAGAGTATTAGATGTGAGGGCCAGAGACAGCCCCAGCCACAGTCTCATTAAGTCAGTATGTTTCCTCTGAGGCTTTTAGGTTGCCTTCAATCAGCTAAAATCCAGGCCAGCTTGCCCCGCCAATCAGACATGACAAGTTATTTAGGTGCTTACTCTGGGACCCTCACTATTCATTTATGACAAGATTCCAAAGAAAATGAGCCACAGACACTTTCAAAATATAATGTAGCCTCCAAGAGAGGTTAACCCTGCAGTGACCTCTTCAGCAATTCAGTGCGACCCTGGATCAAATAACAAAGAAAAAAATTTCCATAAAAACCCCCCACAAAATTTGTAGATGAATTCATATAAACGTGTTTGGTTGTACATAACAAAATGGGCGAGACTTTCAAGCAATGAAAGATAATTTCAGAGGCGGCCAGGCTGCCCACTCAGGCCCTAGAATTATGGGTCCCTGGAGATGAGAAGTGGGAATGAGGGGGCAAGCGCCACAGTTAAGAAAAGCCATGTATTTAGTCTGTGTGTCAGGCCTTCTGCAGTGACTTACCTGAAAGATGGCATTTCTCCAGCCATCCTTCAGCATGCCAGAGTTATCTTCCTGAAGTACAATGTGAATCATTTTACTCCCCTTCTCAAAAACCTACAATGGCCCATTTTGTCTACAGAAGAAAAAAAAAGTCCAAACTCTTTATATAGTTCGGTCATAAACAGCCTTACCAGGCTTGCAGTAATACTGTGTAACATGTAATGGGAGGCCACAGGCACAGTGATTCCGAGATGTGTAGTCACAGCTCTGCCGCTAACTAGTTCTGGAACCTTGGGCCTAGAGCTATGTAGCCTCTAAGTTTCATTGTCTTTTGTAAAACGGGGCTAGGAATAGTACCTTAGTCACCCGGCTCTTGTGAAGATTCAATGAGAGTAAATGAGTTATACTTCCCACTATTTCACCTGCTGTTTTTCACATCTGCCGCTTGTCGTCATAGTTTTGCTTATGTTTTCTCAGCTGCACATCCTGTTCCCTTTCCAGAACCCTGCACTCATCTTCCATTTGCAGAAAGTTTTGCAGACCTGGCTTGAATGCCACCTCCTCTAATAATTCATTCTTGGCCCTTCCCCATCAAAATGTATGTCTCTTCACTGACCTCCATGTGTACCTCTATAATCCCTTCACTTAACTTCCCATTACAATTTGTAATTCACAAATTTGACTCTTTTCTGGATTATACATGATCTGAGGTCTCATCAGATACCAACTTTTATTTAAACTTTCTTAAATTTCTAGTACTTATCAGAATGATTTTTAAATAACAAGCACTCCGTTTGGTTGTAATTATTACTTAAAATTGGCTTGCTTTAAAATTTCAACCCTCCTATTAATTTAGTCTCCTCTTTCTTTGATAAATTCATAAAACGGTAAGAAAATATTAACTATCCAAATTCCAAATATTGATTTTTTTAGAATTATTTATTCCCTAAACATCTGTGGTATAGTATAAAAATCCAACTGATAATTTAGTTTCTATTACATTTATGACAGAAAAATTACTCTCTAATAGAGATTCTTAACTAGAATTTTTAATGCAATTATTTAAATTATAAGTGATATAAAATATTGTAAAACCTTGGAAAAGATAGAAAAGAAGCAATACAGAGTCCACCCTATCAAACATTATCCTGCTTTCTAAGACCTTCCTACTCAAAGTGTGGTCTGAACCAACAGCATCTGCATCTAACAAGGCGAGAAACTTGCTGGAAATGCAGACTGTCATGCCCATCTCAGACCAACTCAATCAGAATTGATTTGATTTGCACTTAAGGTGTGAAAAGCACTGATCTAAGGTACTACCTAGAGCTCAGCAGAGCATGTCTACCAAGCATCTCCCTCCTAACAATTATTTATTGAGCACCTGCTACATGCCATGTGCTGTGCTAGATTCTGTGTTTCCATCTTCAAGATTTCTTCCAGGACTTACTCAGGAATATAGGGAGAGAGTGTTGTCTTCTCTTGAATCATTTTCTTGAGCAAATAAAATAGTTTTTATTGAAAAACTGCCAGAGGTACAGAACATCTCATTCTGAAGTGGTTCCACTCCTCTTGTTTTAAAATTCTCATACAGTGGGTGTTTCTAAGTCTGAAGTTTAATGCTTTCGTAATATGCTCACTCCTTCCATTAAAAGCTGAAAAGTAAGGGGGTGGGGAGCATTGAAATTAACTTTCACAGCAGAGCTTAAAGAACACATTTTATTTGCCTTGGGCAGCTTTCACATCGTTTTGTGTTTGGGAATTTAACATTTTAAATTCAAGGAAAGCTGAGAAACGTTCAAAGGTAAATCCTGGGATATTCCTTCATAGTAATTTTCCAGGGGAAAAATATTTGGTAGACTCAAACAACTAGATGATATATTCCCAAATATCCTGTGATATGCTTGGGAAAAAGAAAAAGGAGGAGAAAAAAAAGATGTACTCTAGAGAAGTGCCCTTTAAGCATGAGAAGACACATTATGAGTAGTGTACACTTTTTATTAGTCAAGGGATACTCCTCCAGAAAAGAAAAAACCTGTTGGTGATATTATGCAGCTCAAAGGGCTGAAAAGCAGGCTTACACGAGTGCTAAGAATAGCCTGGGAGAGGAGATTTTAATACGGATGTGCAAAGGGAGCAATGTGCAGCTATTCCTAAGGAAAGGTGGCTGGGCCTGCTGTGGGGTTACCTTGGCCATGAGGCGGGGTGAGTCAATGCAGCTGGCACACGGGTCTCTATAGCACCTTCAGACTGCTCTTAGCAAAGGCTGCCTTTTCCTTTCCCCATAAGCCCCTCGCGAGTCACTACCGCAGCCCCGCAGGACCCCCCATCAAGGCCAGGGTGTTTTCCCTGCTGTGCCAGTTTGCCAAGATGTCCCTATGATGATCGGTGTGCCAACTTCGCCTATCATGAGACGTCCCAGAGTTTACCACCGTGAAATCAGACCCGTCCGAAGCCCGCCTGACCTCAGCCCGCAAGTTCTCCCGCCTGCAGTCCCCGCAGCGGCGCTGGCCCGCGCACAGGGAGGCGGGAGTAACGGGGGGAGGAGACTCGG